GCTATTTTTAAACTGCCCAAAAACTCAGTAGTTAAAAATAGCTAGCTAATTTGAGGGGAAGTGTTGTTTTCAGCAAAGCTGAGCTCCCCTGCTTGTTAGCCTTGAGCATGCTGCAGATCTCTGCCTGCCTCAGTTTCCCCCATAGGCCAAAGGAGGTTAATAACCAGCTCGGAGCTCTTGGAGATCCACTGATGGAAGGCCTTTTTGTAAGAACAAAGTGCTGTAATCATTATTGCTGTTATTATGGTACCTGTTCTGTGTGTCTTAAAGCTTAGGGTGATATTCACACCTAAATATGGCTCTGGGTCTCTTCATTGCAGAGACACTGGTGACTCCAGAGGGCAATTCAAACCACCAAAATTAGGCTTTTAATTTTGAAATTATTTTAATTGGGGTAGTCCTCTGGAGATTTCAGTCTCTTTCCACTACTTGTAGAGAAAACATAGCAGAGTTTAAATCCTGTTCCTAAGGCAGAAATTCATCTTGCTAAACTTGAGGACTGTAAAAGTCACGTGCCTTGGCTAGGTAGTATCTAAGGTCTTTCTGTTTACTGGGGAAGGGGAGGAGTTGGTGATGCTCCAGGCCGCAGTTTATGGGCTGACTTTACCTGACTCTGAACTTCTCTCTCTGGCTACTGTGTGAGGGACTTGAGGTGGAGACCAGCATTACGTGTGTAAATGTAAGAAAGCTCAAGAGATACAATGACCTACAATCCTAAAATGGTTTGGGTTGGAAGGGACCTTGAAGATCATTTAGTTTCAATCCCCCTGCCGTGGGCAGGGACACCTTCCACTAGACCAGGTTGCTCCAAGGCCCATCCAACCTGGCCTTGAACACTGCCAGGGATGGGACAGCCACAGCTCCTCTGGGCAATCTGTGCCAGTGCCTCAGCACCCTCACAGTCAGGAATTTATTCCAAATATCCCATCTAATCCTGCCCTCCATCAGCGTGGAGCCATTCCCCCTTGTCCTGTCACTCCAGGCCCTTGTCCAAAGCCCCTCTCCAGCTCTCTTGGACCCCCTTTAGGCACTGGAAGGGGTTTTGACGTCTCCCTGAAGCCTTCTCTTCTCCAGGCTGAACAACCCTGGGTCTCTCAGTCTGACTCCATAGATCTAGAAGGACTAAATTCCCCATGCAGGTTCTGCCACCTGGTTGTGTTTCCTTTGCAGTGATACATAACTCTTGCAGTGCAAAGGGACAGTGCTTCTTACAGAATAGCTGCTTTTACCCTGCCTGAAATTTTATGGTTGATTCCCCCTTTTCGCTTGTACTGCTGTTACAGTGAGGTAAGGGATAATAGGAATGTGGATCTTACAACACAGTTTAGACCTCCGTGTGTTGAGATGTGGTTCTATGAAAAGGAGATCAGAAATCACTGAATTTTCTATGTCGCAAACTTAAAATGAAGTTGATATGTGTAGACATGGATTTTTGTGCATGTGACTCCTGATTCAGTTGTTCTGAGTGGAATTAGTTTTGATGAGCTGTGTAAATTAAGGGAGAATTGGACACTTGGAAATGCTGTCCCCATGATGACCTCTGCCTCTGAATTCTTGAAAAATAGAAAAAAAAAAAGCAGACTTTCCTTCCCTCCCCTTGTTAGCATTAAATGTCAACAGCTGTATTTTGCTGCTGGTACTTATTAACATTCAGCCTTGCCTTTTTCAAGCATATATTGCTTTAGAAATTAACTAATGCTTGTCACCGGGGAAATGTACATCTTCCAGATACCTTGGCTTCTGAAAAGATGCAATTTTTCTTAAGCAGATTGCTAAAATTACTGACCAGTACAATTAGGGAACCTCCTGATTGTTCTATGTTGAATTTTGGTTTGTCTTGATGTCTGTTTTTTGAGTCTGTTGAAATCCTGTGTCAGTCAGTAATTACAAGGGGTGTCTCTTTTATAAAGAAAAGATGGTAAATTACAGCTATGGTTGCAGTTAAATCCTTTTACCTTTTCAACCTGAAAATATTTTTAAACTTTATTTCCTAGTTGAAGCCAAATGTCCTTATTTCTTGGCACCAAACATTCATTTTGCATCACATCATTGGATGATCACATAGTTGGCTAGGGAAATATTATTTATTTCCAAAATTTTAACTGCTCCTGCTCCATTCATGTAGCGCCGAAAAGACAATGGGCTTTTGGGAACAGAGGATTTTTAGAGGATTTTTATTTTAATATGCCTTCAATGCAGCTTTCATCTAGTTGTAGTTGTCTGCAATTTATTGTTTGGGGTCTTTTTTTAAACGTGTGTAAGCGTTATGGCTTATTTCTTCTTTTATAAGTGCTTGGAATCTGAGGATTTGTTGCAGTGTCCTGGCCATTATCTTGGCTTTGTTATTTACTGACAATAGGTACGGATAAACCTGGTGTTAGGGGCCTTGCATTTCTAAATCTGATCCTGAAAGGCAAGGCTGAGAAAAGCAAGATCTCTGCTCTGATTGTTTGTAAATAGGCAGTTTGTTTGGGGGCTTTTTCCAGATTGTTAATTTAGTGGCTATTACACTGACAAATATAATTACAGTACATAAATTATATTGAAAATATTTTTGTCTGTTTGATGTATACTAAATTTAAGCTAAGTTATAAGGTGTGCTGTTTGGAAGTGTGGAAGATACAAGAGTGGAGCTACAGATAACAAGTTTATGCTTGTATTTCCTACTGATGAAGACTTTCACACAAGTTATTTCTATGGGTAGGTGATGAGATATCACTCTGCATGTATATACATTTATTATATATTTTTGCATGATTATACATGTAGGAGTGGTACAATTTTGACTTGAGACTATTGGTGCCTTTTGTCGAAATACAGTTTTACTCATGTAGACATGTCTATCTAAAAATCAAATTTCATTTCTGCTTTTGGAGATCTCAGTAAGAAGTGAGAGAAACAAAGGCCTGAAGGAACAGTCCAGAGCTCTAGAAATTTTAGATAACCCATTGAAAAAATGGTCAAATAGTCAATATTGTACTTGACCCTCGTATCTTCTGCACTTGACTGTTTATGTTTATAGCTCCCATTGTATATGTTCACACTGAACTCTGATGATAAGACTGAAAGAAAACATGCTTCTTGTGATGCAGTCCAGTCATAACTTCTGCATGTAATTTAATCATCAGCTGTCACAAATAATTAACTGAACATCAGCCAGCTTCATTTTGAACTTGGTATTCCATTATTTTGTAATTGCCTTTTAAAAAGACAAAGATTGCCTTTCAGTTAATTATCAGGACTTCTGTTCCAGTCATAATCATCAGCGTTTCAGGTTGCAAACAGTTTGGTCTTTAATGCATTGGCATTTAACTACTCATTTATTTTTGTTGGGTCTGTTTTAAGTTTGTAATATAACATTGTTTCATGAAATTGTTGGTTTGGGAGCAGGTCTGATTGGAAATATTTTGTGAATTTCTTAATACCTTGTTGCAAAACTGATCTTTAATACGAGTTAAGCAATATGTCACTCTTTAATGAAATGTGTTGCTCATGACAAAACAGCTGTTTCTGAAAATAATGAGTTGCATTATATTTCAGGCACCAAGTTACCAAAAAACCACCCTCAAAACCAAAACAAAAATCCCCACTCTAAAAACCTCAAAGAAATATCTTATCAGAGAAGCAAATTTGAAACTTGTAGTTCATGCTCTTTCTGTCTTCAGCAGTCAGCACTCATAAAAGAAACCAGTTCTTCCTGAAAAGACTTTTCATTTTATTCTTTATGACTTTTGAGTATTTCTTTCATCGCTTTCTCACTCCAAAAGCCTTGTCTTCCTAAACATGTTCTTAATTTGATTATTTTATATTATCCCATACAAGTTATACCCTCCATACATCCCTAACAAAAAAGTCCTGCAGACACACAAACTGCCAGAATCTCCTTGTGGTTAAAGAATTGTAGTAGCAAAGCTGCTGAACTTTGGCCCAACCTGTGTTTGTGTTTCATCCTTGATTTTGTGGATGAAGCCTTGGCCCAAAGAAAGTTTTGATCCTCTCATTTTGGGAGGGGAAACTCCAAGCACTTTCATCCCCTCTGAGTCACTAAGCTGTAGCTGGGGCAAGACATTTGAGTTAAAACACACGTGTCCTTTCAGAATTACAGTATTTATCCATTCTCTGTGCTGCCATATTAATCTTTGTCTTGAATTGCCTGGGTTTTTTTTTCCTGAGCCTCTTCTGTTTCTAGCATGCTTTCCAATTTTAAGCAATTTTGTTCACCACAAAGAATTTAGTTGATCCTGACAAAATGGATCGAAAAAACTTTTTGTTACTCCTCAAGAGCAGATTTCAGAATCAAGTAAGCAGTTTTATTGCCCTTTCCCTCCTTCATTATGGTGGCAAAAAATGCATATGGTAATCATATTGAATGAAAAGCATATTTATCACTGCGCATTATTGTTTTGTTTCTTGTGATTCTTGCTTTTTAAAAAAAACCCACCAAAAAACATTGCTGTTTTGAAAAATTTACTTGCCCTTGACAGGTAAATGCTACAACAGGAAAGTTTCCTCATGTTAAATTTATTGCCACTGGATCAGCTATATTAAAAAGTTAGTTTTATTCAATCAGCCCTAAAGTAATGTAAACTGTCACTTCTGTAAAATTCTCTAGATAAATATCTCATCTGCCAAATTTAATGTCCTGTAACTTAGTAATTTTTATTTAAAGCTGGAGGTTTTATCCTCTGAAGATTGTAAATGTAATGCCATCAGATATGGAGATGTCCTTGTGTTAATGTAGAAGGCAATACAGAAATAACTGATACTTTGATAAACGTGGTTTTCTTACATTTGTGTTTTCTGTATATGATGTATGTTAAAATGTCTCTGTAATATCAGACTATGTTCATTAACTGAAGTTTAATCATAAAATTTACGACTATAAACTATGAGCTTCATGTAGGATGTTGCATTAATCCTTAAACAGATTATTTGCACTTTTAGAGGTGTCTTTCACACTGTGCTTGAGTTCTAATTCACACTGCTTTTCTTTCCTGCAGATGGACCCCCCGTTTTGGCTCACTACGATCTGTCGGACACAAACTCAGACCCGGAAGTGGTAAATGTGGACAATCTCTTGGCAGCTGCAGTAGTTCAAGAGCACAATAATTCTTTAGGAAATCAAGACTCAGGATCTACCTGGCGAACCAGAGGGCTACTAGATGAAATGAGTGCTGATACAGGTTTGTTTAAATTCTCTTCCTCTGGCATTTTTTCCAGCATTGCTGTTGGTGTCTCTCACTTTCTTGCTCTCAGTACTTCTGTAGTTTATACAGCTGTAACAGCTGCCTATGTGGATTTTGTGAGAAAACAGAACAGGTGTTTGTTAAAAAGGTCTGACATTTATTCCAAAATACAATTGATAAAAATTGACAGAAGATTCCTGCAATGTATTTTTTGACACTAATTTTCTTAATAATTTTTCTTCCTTCTTTTCTCTCTAATTACTACTTGAAACTTAGGCCTGGGATTTTGGTGTTGATTCTTTTTTAAATGAAAGTGAACTAAGCTTGTCAGTGAATGATTGTGATGACCCATGGCACAAGCTAGTAAAAAAACGGTCACAGCCTCATTTTAACTATTAGAATTGTCTCTATATGTCTTTTCTTTTTTTGTCGCTTTATATCTTTAAAATACAGGCATTAATTATTCCCATATTCTGTTTGCATTTCTAACGTCCCTTAGAAAATTGGACAGACCAGCATCAGGTAAAGGTGAAGGGTGAAAAGGTAGGTGGACTTAGCGTCTAGAGACAGCAGAGAAATATCCTTCAGGAAGGGAAGAGCAGGAATACTGTGGAAGAATTCAGAGAAGTTCATGTAACTCATAAAAATTGTTCAGCTTCACTAAAGTGCTTGTAACTCTACTAACAAAAAGGTTAACATGAAATACTACTGTGTTTTGGATGCATAGAACTAACAGAATATTTCCTATTGAATTTAACCTGCAGCCTTATATGTCAACATATTGCATTATTTTCACTTGTTATTTTAATACCCATGTTAAGATTTCTAGCTGCATATGACACAGTCTTGCCTGCTGTGGTGAAGCACAACAGGTTTGTGTTGTATGCTGTTTTCTCTAGAAGCAGCCTGCCACAGGGCACCCACACTAGGAGTGTTGTGGTGGCTCTGAGCTACTTTTCACGGTCTGTAAGGCTTAACGAAATACAAGTACACGGCCTGTTTTAAAGAGGTGTTCCATTATTATGGAGTTAACAAGTCCATTATTTCAATATGAGAATCTCTGTATTATTTTCAGTGTGGTCTGTGGCTGGATGTTGTTCCAGCCTTTTTGAAGCCTGCCTCTGTTTTCCAAGCGCACTGGTATTTTTTGCAGGATAGCAGCTGACTGATTTTATTTGACCTCTGACAAGGCCTGTCCTTTATTAAGTGATTTATTAAAAAATTAGAACAGCTGAAATCACATGTATTATATACCAGTAATGGATTCTTCAAAGGAACATAAAGAAATAAAAAGTAATGTCTCTTACCAAGCCTTCTTTCACTTTCTGCTTACAAGCTGCAGTGCAGATAGAAATTTTTCTTCCTTCCTCCACCTATATCCAAGGGGACATGCAAGGAAGAGGTTGGCAAGTAAAAGAAAACTTCAAGAAGCTTCTTCATCCCTGGCCCTATGGGAGCATGTTCATACAAATTTGATCCTGGTGCTACAGCCATGTCAGTAGCTGAAAGGGTGAAACTCTTTTTCCTCCTGCATACACCTTGCCCCCGAGCCCTGTAGCGTCAGTACATGTCTGACTGCAGCTTTCTCAGTACTGGCCTTTTAATACCGTGTCTGGGAATGTACATTGGGAAAGCAGAATTTTCAAATCTTGCACGTTGTTGTTCACAAATTTAATCTTCAGCCAGTATCTAGTTTAGCAGACGTAACAGAATGTGTTCCCATGGGAAAATAACAACATAAGCTTTATCTAAGTGAAAAATCTTACTACACTATCACATCTTTGCGCATTGGCAAATATTTGGGGCTGTTTTGCAAGCCCTGATGTTGTAGGGCAAACAAAACATCACTTTGGGCATCATACTAATGTTCATGCAAAGAAATTAGCAGCATAGGCATGTTGTTAAGGCATGAAATTTGTATGGCCAGAGGCTGTAAATCTGTGTGCTATAGTCCTGATTTAGACTCAGATACTCTTGCAGTATTTACTTTGCTAATCATAGTTTCTCTACTGCTAATTTTTTTTTGTTGTCTGAACTTAACGCTATGGTAATATATGGAAGCTCTTTTGTGGCTCCAGTTTATACCTCTGGGGATTAAGAGGCTTTGCCCCTCTGTCAGACATTATGCTGTCTCAAAAAAGGTGCAGAAGGCTGGTAAGACATTAATGCAAGATACTATGACCGTCTTGATCCAGCCCCTTCCATGAGCAGGGACACCTTCCACTAGACCAGGTTCTCAAAGTCCCATCCAGCCTGGCCTCGAGCACTTCAGGGGTGGGGCAGCCACAGCTTCTCTGGGCAACCTGTGCCAGTGCCTCATGACTGTCACAGCTAAGAATTTCTTCCATATATTGAATCTAAACGTCCCCTCTGTTGGTTTGAAGCCACCAGCACATGAATCAAAGCCTCTTGAGCACTTCTGCTTCATGTTTCACAATCTACCCAGCTACTCCAATTAAAGAAATACCTGTGACCCATTTTTGGGTTTTCTGGCAGTTTGTGATACTTGCCAAGGTATGATCAGCTGAACTCTAATGTTAGGAAATGTCTGCCTGGGCTATGTTTTCATTTTTATGTTCAGCTGACAAATATTTTTTGTCTTGTGAGGTGGAAATTTGTCCTTTAGGTACCTGGCAGCACTTGGGTTTCTTCCCTCCCTAACCCTGATCAGATGTTGCACCAAGGCTCTTGAGTTTCCAATAACTGAACATACAGCATGGTATCTGCCACTCTAATGTTAGGAAATGTCTGCCTGGGCTATGTTTTCATTTTTATGTTCAGCTGACAAATATTTTTTGTCTTGTGAGGTGGAAATTTGTCCTTTAGGTACCTGGCAGCACTTGGGTTTCTTCCCTCCCTAACCCTGATCAGATGTTGCACCAAGGCTCTTGAGTTTCCAATAACTGAACATACAGCATGGTATCTGCCACTGCACGAAAGGTGGAGCTATTTACAAGACAAGAGCATGGAATGACAGGAAAAGAGGGAATGGCTTCAAACTGAAAGACAGTAGGT